AGAAAGTACAATGAAAACAGATCCCGTTACTGGAAAACCAAGAGGATTTTTATTTGTGCTTTTCAGAGATGCTGCTTATGCTGCCCTGGCCGGCTTTTCTCAGTGGTTAGAATGTCAGCCCTTGGACCAATGAGTCACGGGTTCGATTCTGGTCAAGGGCACATACCTCGGTTGCAGTTCGTCCTCAGCCCTGGTCGGGGTCATGTGGGAGGCAACCAGTGGATGTGTCACTCTCACATTGATGTTTCTCTCTCCCCTCCCTCCCTCCCACTCTATCTGAATTGTAAGTAGAAAAATATCCTTAGGTGAGGATAAAAAAAAGGTGCTGCTTGTGTTGATAAGGTTTTGGACCTGAAAGAACACAAACTGGATGGTAAATGTATAGACCATCTCCCCAAAGGGCCAGAGTTTTAAAAGGGAAGAATGCCACAAAAAAAAAAAAGGTTTTGGGGGGTGGATTGAACCCAACTACTTCTGAAGAACAAATTAAAGAATATTTTGGAACCTTTGGAGAAATTGAAAATATTGAACTTCCTATGGATACAAACAAAAATGAAAGATGAGGATTTTGTTTTATCACAAAGACGAAGAACCAGTAAAGAAATTGTTAGAAAGCAGATTTTATCAAACTGGTTCTGGGAAGTGTGAAATCAAAGTTGCACAACCAAAAGAGGTGTATAGGCAGGAACGGTAACAACTAAACAGAAGTAAGAGGAGCTGCAGCCGGTGGATGAGTGGTAGTAGGGGTCATGGCGCAGGCCTACAGAGCCCTCTTGGCAAGATATCCCTGGGGTAAATATTGGCAAAACAACTACCAAGGAAGACACTGGAGAAACAGGAAGAGATTGCTAGTAAACCACCTTGCAGGACAACATTGAAGATTGGTCTTCTATTGATCTAAAGTGATTATTTTGTAAGACTTCTTAGTGTAGAAGACACAATAGTGTCCAACTGTTATAGCTGCCAATTAATTTTCTTTGTTTTTACTGTCTTTTGCTATCAGTGTGTGCCTCAATGTGGATTTGTGTTTACACAAATTTTATTTGTATGATTGCATGTTAAACCTCAAATAAATGTTTCCTTATGTAGAAAAAAAAAAAGAATAGTACTGTAAGTAAAATGGACTGAAGCAAATCAAATACAGTTGCCTCTCAGTATCTATGGGGGAATTGATCCCAAATAATGACAAGAAAAACAAGTCTGTATATGTTCAATACAAACATAGCCATTGTAGGTCTAACTACACAGTACACGTCAGAAACAATGTGATTTTGGTGTTGTTGTTGTTGATATTTTCAATCTATGGTTGCTTAACTCTGCAGATGTGGAACCAATGGATAGGGAGGGCTGACTACATGCTTAAATCCATGAGTTTATAATAATATTTGATATGTAAACCGAACCTGGGACTCTCTGGTCCGCAGGCCGACGCTCAACTGCTATAATAATATTTGAAACATATCAACAGCCAGGCTTGTGTGGCTCAGTGGATTGAGTGTCATCCCATAAACTGAGAGGTCAGGTTCAATTCCTGATCAGGGCAAACGCCGGTTCGCCGGTGTGGCTCTATCCCCAATGTGAGGTGAGCAGGAGGCAACATTTGATATTTTTCTCTCACATCAATGTTTGTTTGTTTGTTTGTTTTGTTAATTCTCACCCCAGGATATTCTTCCAGTGAGTTTTAGATAGAGTGCAAGAGAAGGAGGGAGGGAAAGAGGGAGAGAGAGAGAGATCAATGTGAGAGAGACACATCGATTGATTGCCTCCTGCACGACCCTAACCAGGGCCAGGATTGAACATGCAACCCAGGTATGTGGCCTTGATTGAGAATCAAACCTTCGACCCTTCAGTCTGCAGGCCAGTCCTCTAACCACTGAACCAAACCATCCAGGGTCTCAAATCGATGTTTCTATCTCTCTTTCCCTTTCTCTCTCTCTAAAAAAAAAAAAAAAATCTATAAAACGTATTTAAAAATTAAAATAAAACACATCACCCAGCCGGTGTGGCTCAGTGGTTGAACATCGACCCATGCATCACGAGGTTGCTGGTTCAATTCCCAGTCAGGGCACATGCCCAGGTTGTGGGCCAAATCTCCAGTCAGGAGGGCATGCAGGAGGCAGCCGATTGTTCTCTCTCATTGATGTTTCTATCTCTCTCTTCCTCACCCTTCCTCTCTCTCTAAAATCAATAAAGAAAAAAATTAATAAATAAAACACATTAACAGTTATTTAACCACCTTTGAAAAGTGCTAGGGAACCAACATTTTGAAAACTGATCATTAAAACAAGCATTTGTGCTGCCTATGCAATGTGAACTGTACCTCAGTGTAATAAAATATTTGATGAGAAAAAGTTGCTTTTTATAGAAGTATTTCAACTAATAAATGAAAAATGATAAAACTAGAGTATTATCACTTTGAAACTCTCTGATATTGTGATTTTTAAGAAATATATCCGATATGGTCTTCATCCCTGTTTCTGGCACCTGTAGTTTGTTTCTATGTTTCTGTGATTTGGTTATTTGTGAATAATATTGCAATAAACATGGTGGTGCAGCTACATTTTCTTTTTCTTTTTTTTTTATCCTCACCTGAAGACATTTTTGCATTTATCTTCAGACAGAGCGGGAGGGAGAGAGGGAGAAAGAGAGAGAGAGAAAGGAAGAGAGAGAGAGAGAAACATTGATGTGAGAGAGACACATCAATAGGTTGCCATCCACACAACCCCAACCGGGACATGGACAAACTGCAACCAAGGTACATGCCCTTAGTGGGAACCGAACCCGGGACTCTCTGGTCCGCGGGCCAATGCTCTAACCGCTGAGCAAAACTGGCCAGGGCTACATTTTCCTGATTTTATTTCCTTTAGTTAAATACCTAGAAGTGGGATTGCTGAATCATAAGGTAGTTCTATTTTACATTTTTTGAGGAACCTCCATATGGTTTTTCCTAATACGATGACTATTTTCTCTGCAAAGGACAATGAGTAGAGAAGCCATCCAGAAGACTGGGATTCCAGGTGCATGTGAATTGTAAAGTAGCTGCCCCAATACTTCTTTTAGGGAAGGGTCCTTTCAAATAGATTACAGAGAGGAGACTAGATAGGTAAACTGCTTTTGGAACATGCCTGACATGACTCATTGCCTCTATTACCACCACTGGAGTACTGAAATAGTCTCTTGACTGGCCTCTCTTGGGTTTACATCCTTCCCACTCATCAGAATAGCCTCAGAACAGCAGCCAGAGTAATCTTCTAAGAATATAAACAATATTTTATTCTTCTCCTTAAGACTTTCCAGTGGTTTCCCAACTCACCTAGAATAAAATCTAAAAGCTTTACCATGGCCTTATTCTATCTGACTCTCCCCCTATATCATTCCACTGTACCTCACTGGCTTTCTTACTGTTCCTCTAACATCCCATGCTATCTCTGATCTCAGGTCCTTTACCAATATTTGTCTGTTCTGGAATTGTCCTTCTTCCAGAAAATTGCATATTCTTCTTTTAATTTTTATTTGTTTGTTTTTGAGAGAGAGAGAGATTTGTTGTTCCACTTATTTCCACTTATTTATTCATTCATTGGTTGATTCTTATATTTGCCCACAACCTTGGCATATCACCACGATGCAGTAACCAAATGAGCTACCCGGCCAGGGCAGCATACTCTTCTTTTACATCCTTTAGATTTTTCTCAAGTGTTATATTCTTAGTGAGACATTCCCTGGCCATATCATCTAAACTTTCAACACCCTCTCTACTCACTTCCTATCTATCCCCTTTCCTGCTTTATTTTTTCTTTTTAGCTAATCTGATATACAATTTTACTTAAATTGTTATAGTTATTTGTTAGTCTTTCTCACCAAGATCCATGAGACTGTTTTCTTCAGGTCTTTGTCCCTGTGCTTAGAAAAAGCCTGTCATAGTAGGTGCTTACTTAGGAAACATTAAATAAATGAATAATACCTGCATGGCTCCCTCCCTTTCTTGAAATCTCATCAAGTGCCACCTTCTCCGTGAGGTCTTTCTCGAAGATCTTATGTAAAATAGCATCATTCCCCTTACATACACACAGAAACCATTACTTTAATTTCTTATCCTGCTTTAAAAAACGTATCACTTAGCGCCATTCGACACTGTATACATTTATTTACTTATTGTCTCTTTTCTCTCCCCCTGATGATTTCAATTTTCACGAAGGTAGAATCTGTATCCTCAACGCCTTAGAATGAGCCTTTACCTCTTTGTAGCTACTCAATGGTTATTCCTTGGGTGAATTAATGAACCGATTCTGACCGAAAGCATTCTCTCCGCGACCACAGACACTGCCAGGATGGCCATGAGGTTTCCAGCACAATCAAGAGCTCGCCAGTGGGCACTTCAAACTCCTTCACGCTCCAAATGACTCTTCTAAGAAAGACTGCTCTTGGCTGGGAACTGCAAAAACATCGGTGTTCTCCATTTCATTTCTGCCCCTAACATTTAACTAAAGAACTGACAGCTCAGGCCAGTGCCGCGAATAAAAGTATTTAGCAAGTCACTTTTGTAAACTGTCGGTTGTTCACCAAAGTTTAACGAATTTACTCGACTGCGAGTCAAGTATTGTCAGCCAGACCGAGAACAAAAGCAAGTTCCCCGGAGTAGGAGTACCCTGGCAGCACCGGCCCGAAGCCGTCCGGCTCTGCGCTCCCCCGCCCAGAGCGGCCCAGGATTGGCGGAGGCCAAGCAGGCACCGCCCCGCCGGCCTAGGGCGCGCGTTTGGACGAGGCCTTCTCGGGAGGAGCTTTGCGGAGCAGGGCGGGGCGGAGCAGGGCGGGGCGGGACGAGGCGGGGCGAGGCGGTCCGGGACGGACGTCATCTCGCCGCCTGAGCTCAGGATTGGCGAGAACTCAGCAGGCACCGCCCCGGCCGGCCGGGGGCGCGCGTATGGGCGGGGTCACCCGGGAGGCGCGTGGGGCCAGGCCTGGGGCTGGGGCTGGTGATGCTGCGGCTGAGCCGACTTGTCAGGCTTGGGTGGAGGCCGAGGGATGGCGAACGTGCTGGTGGCCGTGAGGGTGCGGCCCCTCAGCAAGAGGTAAGTCTGGGCGGGAGGGGGCGCCTGGGGCGTCAAGTGAGTTAGAAGGGCGAGGTCCCCGCCTCTCCCACAAGGGATTCCGGAGGGGAGAAATCAGACACAAAGTGGCCCAGCTGGCCAGGGTCCGGAACCTTCAGGGCCGGGCAAGTAGGGACCTAAGGTTGAGCTTTCGCGTGGAGCCCCGGGGTATAGCGGTTCCTGGCTGGCCTCGGGTGGGCTGCCCTGTTTTCGGCGTTCCTGCAGTCCTGCCAGCAGGAGTTGGGGGGGACCTCGGCTCACGTCCTGATGCACGGTTTGGGCGTTTCTCACCGGGTACGTTAAGATGGGCTGGGAAAGTGTCTTTACGCGAAGAGAGATTGTCAGTCTCCTCTCTCTTCTCGGCGTCTCTGGAGTACCTGTGGGGACTGAGGCAGGATTGTGGGTGCGCGTGGGTTTTTCTGCGAAGATGTGGAGAAAGGCAGAGTGTAAGGCATGGGAGGGAAACTGAGGCCCAAAGGGATCGTGGTTACGTCCTATGCTAGACAGCAGGACTGTGGAATAGGGGAAGTTATTCCAACCCCTTCTCTCAGCGTTGGCAGTGCCCGTTTTCTCATGGGTGAATCTGATTCTGCACCTCTCAGTTCTTGAGGCATTCAGTGTCCAGCCACATAATTTCTTCCCCTTTTCACAACTTTTCACTCGTAGGTTTGGAAAGTCAGGGAGGGCTTCACAGAAGGGTTGGTGTTTGAACTGTTTTTTAAAGACCTCTTAGAGTTTGCTGACAGGTGGAGAAGGTGGAGAAAGCACTCTGTGTACTAAAATTCTGAGAGCAAAAGACTTAGGCTGTTTAGTTGGTTGGTTGAGGAGAGGGTATGTGGAGGGAGATGAGTGATAGGACATAAAACTGTGAGGGTGAGGTTTGGGATCAGTGGCACAAATTGGAATTATTTGGGAAGTTAAAAAATTTCCAGGACATAAGATGGCTTGAAAATTGGGCAGAAGGGTAAAAAAGGTCTTGTCTTCCACAATAAAATTTGGTAATAGTAGGGATTATATTTGTCCTGATGTGGAGGTGACTGGCTTTGAAAAGTCATGCAATTGACAGAATAATGAGGAGAGGAGTGAGATGGGGGAAGAAACAAGAGAAACAGAAAAGAGGGGAGGGAAAAGGCAAGAGATACAATGAAGAAAAAAGGAAAGCAGCAGAAAAAAAGGAAAGCAGCATGTTCTTGAATTGCTGTGTTTAGATTGGTAAGTGGATTACACACCTGGCTTCTGCTTTACCAGGTGTAGTGGCTCAAGGTGGGGGAGGCGGGGTTCATTGTTACAGCTGCTACCCTAGAGGTAGCCTCTGGCAGATCATCATCTTCTTATTTTTTAATTCTCATCTGAGGATATGTTTATATTGATTTTTAGAGAGAGAGGAGAAAGAGAGAAAGAAACATCCATCAGTTGCCACCCATATGTGCCAGAGGACCCAAGCTTTGGTGTACAGGATGAAGTACTAACCAGCTGAGTCATCCGGCCAGGGCCCTCTGGCAGATCCTCTTTTTGCAAAACTGTACTTTTAAGGGTTCTTGGGATAACAATATTGATTACTCCTCACTGTAACTTCTCTGTACTTTGGGAAGTAGGAATTTATAATAGCATGGATTAGATTAAGAAAATACTGTTGGCCCAGCTGGTGTGGCTTAGTGGATTGAGTGTAGTCCCATGGACTGAGAGGTCCCGGTTTGATTCCCGGCCATGGCACATGCCCCGGTTGTAGGCTCAATCCTTAGTGGGGGGTGTGTAGGAGGCAGCCAATCGATGTTTCCATCTCTCACTCTTCCACTCTCTCTCTCTAAAAAATCAATATAAACATTAAAAAAATAATAATTTTAAAAAAAGAAAAAGAAAATACTGTTGCCCTGGCCGGTTTGGCTCAGCGGTTAGAGCGTTTGCCTATGGACTGAAGGCTCTTGGATTTGATTCCCAGTCAAGGGCACATACCTGGATTGCAGGTTTGATCCCTGGCCCTGGTTAGGGTCATGCAACAGGCAACCAATCAATGTTTCTCTCCCCCCCGCCCCGCCCCTTGCTTTCCACTCTCTCTAAAAATCAGTGGAAAAATATCCTCAGGTGAGGATTAACAAACACAAGAAAATACAGTTAAAATTGAGTTATTTGTAGCCACAGTAGAGAATAACAGCTCATCATCAAGTGAGGGGAAAAGAAGGGCACATTTACTGAGCTCACATGAAGAGCCTTGAGCAGCACATAATAGAATGTTAAGACTACAGATATTCAGGTGTGAGCAGATTATAGCAGGCTGAAGATTCAGGAGCAGATATTGAGAAAACCAATATGACCCCAGCTAAAAAGTTGAGGCCACTCCCCTGTTCTCAGAGAATCCTGCAGAGATGAAGCTATACTCCAAGGTTTGTTAATTTCCAGCATCTTCACTGAGGCTCATCTGAATATAGGGAATCTGTTGATTATGTAGTTTATTCCAACCTTCAATAAGTCATTGGCACACACTTAGTTAACAAAGCCATTGGATCTGATGTATTTGGGATGAAATCTCAGAGATCATCTGGTCTAACCTTCCAGTTTTTCTGATTTTCCAGGTGAGAAAATGGTCTTGTTTAAAGTCTAAAAGTAGGTAGAGCCAGGATTCAACTTACCAGACTAAACTGTTTCTTCCTGAGAGTACAGAAAAATTGCACTTTTCAGACAAATGCCTGTTTGCTCAGTAGGAATAGAACTGATCATCCATCAGTAAAATGATAATATGGGAAATAGTTTTGATGCCCTCCCCTCTACCTCACACTTGTTTCCCATAATCAGAAAGTCAGTATTATTATGAGGTGCTGTCATTTGTCTATCCAAAACCATTCATCATTGAAACAGCATGTTCTCTTCCACCAATTCTGTGGGCCCTGTAACACTGCCCACTGCTCTGTCAAAAGTTACTTTTCATACACTGTATTCTCTTTCTGTGCTTTAAAAAAATCTGTAAAATAGAATAACTACTTCAATGTTTTTGTGAAGATTAAGTGAAAGAATACATTTAAAATACTTAGAACAGAACAGAGCGTGGCTCATTTTAAGTATTCAATAAAGTGTTAGCTTTACTCTTGTTTTTATTTTTTCTGTTCTGCCTGTTCATTTTGTTTGTAGATTCAGTTGTCGATAGATACGTATTCATTGCCATTTTGTTTGTTCATATATTTTATCTTTGTCTTCAAAAAGACCCTTCACATTTCATATAATAATGGTTTGGTGATGATGAACTCCTTTAACTTTTCTTATCTGGGAAACTCCTTATATGGCCATCTATTCTAAATGACAGCTTTTTGATGATGATGTGTCTTGGTGTGGGCCTCTTGGGGTTCATCTTGTTTGGGACTCTCTGTGCTTCCTGGACCTGTATGTCTGTTTCCTTCACCAAGTTAGGGAAGTTTTCTCCCATTATTGTTTCAAACAGGTTTTCGATTTCTTGTTCTCTCTCTTCTCCTTTGTCACCCCCAAGATGTGAATGTTGGCATACTTGAAGTTGTCCCAGAGGCTCCTTACACTATCCTCATTTTTTTGGATTCTTTTTTCTTTTTGCTGTTCTGATTGGGCGTTTTTTGCTTCTTTATATTCCAAATCAATGGTTTGCTTCTTGGCTTTACCTACTCTACTACTGAATCTGTGTAAATTATTCTTTATTTCAGTTAGCGCCTCCTTTATTTCTGTGCATCCTTTATTTCTGACTGGCCCTTTTTTATGCTCTTGAGGCCCTCACTAAGTTCATTGAGCATCCTTATAAGCAGTATTTTGAACTCAGCATCTGTTAGGTTGCTTATCTCCATTTCGCTTAGTTCTTTTCCTGGGGTTTTGTTCTGTTCTTTCATCTGGGACCTGTTTCTCTGTCTCCTCATTTTGGCTGCCTCCCTGTGTTTGTTTCTGTGTATTATTTGACGAGAGCTTGGGGCTGAGACCAGAGGCTGCTTGTTTGAAAGGATTTAGGAAAACTTGAAGTAGGATCCAAGACAGGCCAATCCTATGGTTAAGCAACTGGCGACAGCTTGGGTGGGCCTGAAAGTTGGGTGGGGCGGGGCCTCAGGGAGTCACCAGGGTGGGGCAACCAGTGTGAGCCAGGTTGCTGGAGTCCCAGATATGGCCGCTGTCTGCTGCCCCAGGGAAGGGCTCACCAAAGGAACAAAGGCCTCTGACAGCACGTTTGTCCTGTAGAAAGCCCCCTCTCCAGCCCTTGCTCCAATGCCAAACAGCTCAGTTCTTCCCTGTATGTCTCTGGCACCCCTTGAGCTGCCTCCCCTCCAAGCTTAGAGGGAGTGAGTCCAATAAGTCTGTGCACGGGCCCTTTAAGAGGAGCTTCCTGGGGCTCAGTTTCCGCTGTTTTTTCCAGCCAGAAGTTATGAGGACTTCTCTTCCTGGTACTGGAACCCTGAGCGGGGCACCTGGTGTGGGACGGGGACCCCTCAGTCCTCAGGGAGGACCTTCCCAGCCAAGGTATCCTCCTGATTTTTATTTGTCACACATGGGTGTGGGATCATCCCATCATGCCTCCGCCCCTCCTACCAGTCTGGATGTGGCTGCTTCTTTAATTCCGTAATTGTAGGACTTCCATTCAGCTTGATTTTAGGCGATTTTGAATGATGGTTGTTCTGTAGTTTAGTTGTAACTTTGATGTGGTTGTGGGAGGACGCGATACCGCGTTTACCTACGCCACTATCTTGACCTGAAGTCAGCCAGACTATTCTTAACACTTATTTTTATTTCTCCCTATACTTAGCTGTCTGTTCTTTTTTTTTTTTTTTTGGTTAATCCTCACCTGAGATATTTTTCCATTGATTTTTAAATAGAGTGGAAGTAGCTGCGGGGAGAGAGGGAGAGGGAGAGAGAGAAAGAATCACATCAATGTGAGAGATACACATCGATTGGTTGCCTCCTTCATGACCCTGACCAACCTTGACTGGGGCTGAAGATCAAACCTGCAACCCACTTATGTGCCCTTACTGGGAATCGAACCTTTGACCAGGTGCTCTAACCACTGAGAAACCGGCCAGGGCTGTGTTAGTTTAACTTTTACAAATGAACAGATAAGTGGTAATGGCTTGGTGATTTTCCCCTCTAGGACAGTGATTCTGAAAGTATGGGGTGCATACAGTCCACCTGGGGAGCTTGTTATACTGCAGCTTATTAACAGGGTTAACTAGCTCCACCATCTCCCATATTTCTTTTGAAAGTGGCCTGTGGACCACTTTGAGAAACACTGTCCTGCCCTGGCCAGTTGGTTGTAGTTTGTCCCCGGCCCTGGATGGGTCGTGCGGTTGGCAACCACTCGATGTCTCCCTTTCACATCGATGTTTTTCTCTCTCTTTCCCTCCCACTCTATATGAACAAGAAATGGAAAAAGTTCCTTGGGTGAGGATTAAAAAAAAAGAGAAACACCGTCCTGGGAGTAATGTTTAAGGGAGGATTTGTCCCTGTGCAAAACCTTTAACCCTAAGGAATGAATGCCTGTTAGTGGAATTAAGGACACTGAGGCAAGTGGTAGTAGCTCCACTCTACTGTGTGTAAGGCTCCTCCTCAGTAGACTTCCATTGAGCTCTGCTGCCAGCTCCTCACCTGAGGTTAGTGCCCTTTGTTTCTGTTGTGCTCAACCTTAATTCACCCTCATCTTGTTCTAGAATATTTTGGAACCACTAGGTTACCTATGGTAGCGAAGGAGCAGCATCTCACCCTCCTATAGTGTTATATCTTTCTGCCAAAAGGTGACATTTTTTGTTCTTTATTGTTTGTTTTTGTTGCTTTATGCCAAAGTGTCCTAGATGAATCTTTAAGAAAGGGCAAGCTTAAGCATTGGAAAAGTTATTGTGTGATTTTTTTTTTCTTACTTACTTCACTGTCCAAATTTACTATGTGACTGAAGAGTCTGGGGTTCTATTCCAGTCAAGGGCACATACCTGGGTTGCAGGTTTGGTTCCTGGCCTCAGTCCGGGTCATTTGGGAGGTAACCAATTGATGTGTCTTTCTCACATTGATGTTTCTTCCCCAACCCCCACCCCTTCCACTCTCTGAAAATCAATGGGGAAAAAATATCCTTGGGTGAGGATTAACAAAATAAAATTTTTTTTAAAGTCTTCACTTTCTCCTGAAAAAAATCTTAAATCTAAAGATACCCCCACACCCCAACCAACCCCATTCCCATCTCCCCTCTCTAGTCCTCAAGGTCACATCCTGGGAGTTCAGAGGAAGGATAAAATGAAACTGAATGTATTTTCTCAACTTTCAGATCTAGGCGTGATGTAATTTAATAACTTTCCTTACAGTAGAGGAAATGCTAATAAATTTCTTATCTTAGGATTTTGGCTGTGAGCATTTTAACTAAATCTCTTTATGGTATGAGAAATAATTTTATATCTGGTATATTCCATTTATTTCAGGCTTCAGGTATATGGATCACTTGGATTAAGCCCCTTAAAGTGAATTTAGGGGTTGGTTAGGTATTAAGTGTTACTACATAACTGCAACATAGGAAAATTCTTAAGGATCTTGGTTCTCATCTCAATACAAGGAAAGGATTGGGGAAATATTTTCTCAAGATCTCAATAGAAAGTACCCCAACACCCTTTTCATGCTTAAAATCCCAGAGAAAGTGAGAGGTGATGCCATGTTGTGTGCTGTACCAAGGATACTCTCCAGGGTTTCCAAGCCTGATTTCTAAGATATAATTAAGAGCCGAGGCTTTGTAGTCAGACAAATCTGGGTTTATATCCCAGCTCTACCACTGCTAGTTGTATGACTTTAGACAAGTTGCATGCTTTTCCTTAACTTTAGCCTTCCATCTGTCAAAATGAAGATATGTTAGGAAGCCATCTCAGGAGGGTGGTTAAAAGGATTGCATAAGATGAAGTACACTATGTGCTGCACCTAATACAGTGCCTAGCATGTATAAAGTGCTCAATAATGGGAACTTTTAGCTGTCCAGAGCCGAATTCCTTTATTTTTTATTTTTATTTTTAGAGAGAGAGGAAGGGAGAGATAGAAACATCGATGGGAGAGATAGAAACATCGATGGGAGAGAGAAACATTGATCAGCTGCCTCCTGCATGCCCCCTACTGGGGACCGAGCCCTCAACCAGGGCAAGTGCCCTGATCAGGAATTGAACTGGGACCTCTCAGTCCATGGGACGATGCTCAATCCACTGAGCCAAATTCTGACAATCTAGAGAAGCATGCCAGCTAGGGAACTTTTTGAGGTGATGCTTTTAGCTACTTATGGAGACAGACACCCCAGTGATGGAGACAGGAGTAGGGAAACATTTTGTTCCAATAGCACTGGTCTCAGCTTCTCTTTTCTTTTTTCTTTTTTATACTGTAAGTCCATTTCTTCTCAGCTGCTTTACTAGAAGCAGACCCAGTTCAGCACTTTATTAGCTGAGTGCCTCCCTGAGTCTTTCCCCATCTGTAAAATAGCTGTAAGTTTAACTACCTTGTAGGTTGTTGAGAGCATGTAGATAATTTATGAAAAGTGCTTGGCTCAGTAGAGGTGCTTAATAAATGTAGCTATTAGTATTAGCTCTCATAAAATTTTGGATTTAAAAATTAACTTACCAAGTATTCTTAAGGAGGCACCACTCAGATGTCCTAACTGGATGTACCAATTAAGCAGCGCCCTCTTTTGAATGTATCCAAGTACAAACCATTTCTTTTTGGGTACTCAATTCTTTCTACATCATGAATAACTTCTTGAGGACTGGACTCATAGGTTTCTGCCTTCTCTGGCCTTGCTCTTTTGAAAACGCTAACATTAAGCCTCATCGGGGTCCTTACCGTTTTGCAGCTGTTGCTTTTATCTTTGTTACCTTATCAGATTCAAACAAGAGCTAATGGACTGTTGGATTAGTCTCACCACTTTATTTTTATTTTATTATTTTATTTTAATTAATTAATTTTTGTTACAAATGTTTCTCCTTTTTCCCCTATTGACACTCTCCTCCCATCCCACCCCCACCCCCACCCCCAACACAGCATTGTTGTCTCTGTCTATTGGTTATGCATATATGCATATAAGTTCTTTCGTTTATCTCTTCCCTCCCCCCTATTTCTTGACTAAGGAAAAAAAAAAAAGCAGTGTTTTTTTGTTTTTGTTTTTTCATATGGGTTTGGGTCTTGTTTCTAGGGAGACCAAAGAAGGAGGAAGAATTATTTTGGAGGTTGATGGCAAAGTGGCAAAAATCAGGAATTTAAAGGTAAGCCTGAAATTGTTTTCATTTTTTCTCTCCACTGAGGGGCTAGTATTGTTACAGGGGCTTCTGGGATGAAGGTGTGTCTGTGAATGTGTTAGAGAGGGAGAGTGGAAGAGCTTTGACCAGCCACTAAGCAAATATAAAAAGTAGGAGAGAAGTGTAGGGTTGTTGCTGCTGCAGCTTAAGTTCTGTCAAACAGGGTGCAGCTGTTTTGGAAACTAGTCAGTGGCTTCTTTGAAAGTAAACAAGGGATGTATGGGGTGCAGGCATGGCTAGCTTAAATCATGTTTGGGGACAGCCCATATGTATACTTAATTCACCTCATCACCAGTTAGATTTTGTCCCAAGCCTCTCATTTGATATCACTTTGTCTAGAGGTGTGTGCATCTGCTAATGCAGGATTCATTTTGGCCATAGCGAGGACCAAGAAACAATCTTCATATCTTAGAAGGGAGCCAGTCACTAGCCTGAGTCTTATTACAAATTCTCTTTCACAGATTTGACTGATCTTTGAATCACAGTTGGACAAACTCTGGGAACTTCCTCCTCTATCCCTCACCCCCTCCTAGGGCTAAGTTCCTTCATTACATTCCTCCCTTACCAGGCCAGTGGAAAATGAAGAATTCTTTCTTTCAGTGCCTTGAGGAGTGGAGGGAAACAGGGGAGCTGGCCATATGACCTGCCAACAGCGAGGGTTATCTGGATCCCAGACATCCCAGCCATGCCCACTCCCATGTTACTCCTGTGATGTGATCTATTTCCTTTTGTCAGTAGCTCTCTGCTAAAAGAGAACAGGAACTACCAAACTGTCAATAAGAGCTCCCTGGGGACAAAAGACCTTTTATTCTTTGCTCTCTCTTACATCTCTGTTGCCTAATCATTCGGCTGCTTTGTTCTAAGAGATCATATTTTTGGTTCTTAATAATTCCTGGCCAATATCAAACTCTAATCTGCCTCCCACATACCTTGCTGACTGCTTTCTTCCCTGAGGTTAGTTACGTACGAAGAATCTCTTAGTTATTCCAACAGCCTCATTCTACTGTCGTTTGTGGATCCTAGTGCTAGGGTTTGTCTTTCCCTGTCCAGAGTCTAAATTTTAAATAGTAATACAAGCATTTCTGTGGGTAATACCCTTATCCCCAGTACAGTACTTGGAGGTCAGTACAGTTCCAAGTTCTGGCTCTGCCCTTATCTACCTTGGGCATTTGGCTTAGTCCTAGCTCTTCTGTTCAGTATACTTTCTAATTCACTGGGGTGGATCTCCCCAGGCATCTCTGTAAAAGCCTTAGGTTAATAGAGCCTGCTAGGCCCAGGGACTAAAGTACTTATGCATTTCTGTATCTGCTATAGAAAAGCTTAGAGGAAAAAATGATAGTAATAAGAAGATGCCCAGAGAGGTAAAGGTTTTCTCTCCTAAGCTGTTCTATACCTCTCTTGGTTCATATGTAGGCAGATCTATGATAGTGTGATAGGTAGACATTAAATTAATTCTCTGGGGTTTTAATTCTCTGAGGACAGAGGTTTCTTTCTTTCTTTTTTAGATAGGTATCATAAAGAGTCTCATACCAGTCTAGTTCTCTCTAGCTACAGCAGAGAGAAATCAAGTGCCACTAGCCAGATTCTGATATTATAACAGAGGACACTGGATCCTATGTTTGATTTTAGGTGGACAGTCGATCAGATGGCTTTGGCGACTCCCGGGAGAAGGTTGTGGCATTTGGCTTTGATTACTGCTACTGGTCAGTCAACCCAGAGGACCCCCAGTATGCATCTCAGGATATGGTAATGTCATTTTTCCTTCACTCTTCCCAGTTAACTATATAATTATTGGGAAATTAACATGGAATCTGGGCCTTGCCTATTTCTTACTTATGGTAGTTTGGTTAGAAAATAATGATATTTGATCTGAGAGGTGGTAGTGAGAGGCATCAGTTGCAGAAAGAAAAGTACTGCTTGCTTAGGGCATGGGACTTGGCTAGTGTTTACTTAAGCTTGGGCCTCAGCATGACTCAGGTGGGAATGAGTTAGTTTAGGAAGTATTCTGCTCCTGTGGTAAGTAAATGGGCTCATCTCAAACTTGACCTTATGTTGCATGCAGTGGAAAGGCCCAAGAATCCTAGAAGCTAGTATCTTCTTTCTTCCTTAGGTTTGTGCTCATAGGCTAAGTGTAAAAGGCTAGACAGCTAGTCTACCAGCCTGCCTGCAATGTACATAAGAGGTGAATTCTCTTGATCTGATAAGGATTGAGAGGATCAATTAAGGCTATTGGTCATGCTGCCTAGCTCCCTCACAGGTTCCCAAGGCAGCAGGTCTGGCCAGGTGGATCTACACGACTTCCCTCTGTTTCTGTGAAGCAACAACATTGTTCTGGTTTGTCCTGTTGAAGGTCATGCCTTCAGTCCCCATGATGGCCAGCAAGCCTTGCCTCATTCAGTTCTATGACCACAAACAATAGTTTTCATTCCAGCAGCCACCAGGTACCCTAATCAAAGTCCAACCCTAAAATTAGAAATATCATTTATTTAGCCTTTGTGGATCAGTATCATCATACTTACATCTGAAAGAAAACACTACAGGAGTATGTCCTTAGGAAATAACCATTGGAAATAAATTTTTGGGGTGGGGGTAACCCTGGACAGCAATCACCTGTCTATATACCTTTGATTAGAAAGCCAAAGTGTGTTTTCTAAGTATTTTAGTCTTTTGTGAAACTGTTTTTAATTATGCCAAAGGAACAATTTTATCAAGTGTGAGTGAGTTAGAGGATAGTACTGATCTTCCATTGATGCAGACTTCTGAAGATGACTGGATAGTTCTAAACCATGGATGTGTAATTCCTCCATTCTTCCCTTCTGAGGGGAACATGTGGAAACAAGACCCTAGACTGCTGTGGAATTTGCTGTCTCTGTGGGTTCCTTCTGTTATAATATGAGTACCCTACTTTTGTAGTCAAACTGCATTTGCTGTAAATGCTCAGCAGAAAAAGGTAGTATGGACATACATGGCCCCTCCTGAGCTTTCTCTGTCCTTTGGAATATGAGGGAACTTGCAGGTCCAGGCTTGTCTTATGACCCTTGATTTTATGCCAACACTCAAGTATCTGTGAGGTATCTGGTTACTGGCGTTTGTAACTGGTTTACTGAGATCCTCCAAGAAGAGCCAGGAGAGAAACTGACTCTCAAATAAAAGGATGGAATGTCTACAGCAGTTCACAGTTGTGACTGTATGTGGCACAGAAGGCATTGTTCTTTCTATTAGTAGAAAGTGTGAGCGTACTGATGGCTATTTCAGTCTTCCCTGGCCATAGCACACCTAGGCCTGGATGTTATGTACCTAAGAAAAATGAACTATTTTGTGTAACATTTGACAGATCAATAATCTGGGAGATGTGTGTATGTATGTAAACAAAAAATACCTCTCTCTCTATATATATATAAACAAGCTTAGGTATGGTTTTGGTGTGAGGCTCACATTTTACATTTATGTAGCTTAAGTGTATAAAAATAATCTAGTGGAAGCCCAGAAGTCCATAGAGGAGAATTCATAAATATGATTCTTCCTCTGTTGCCTGATTTGAAGTTCAATGGAAAGATCAAATAGGATTTGGACAGGAAGCCTGTGCAGAGAGATAAAACCAGAGTCTCCTGAGGTTGATTCAGGCTTGTTTATTAATTTTCTAAGGCCTCATTGGTCCCAAGGGGAGTCGGGACAGTAAAGAGAAGGAAAGGAAACTTTGTCACAGGCTGGAGTAGGGCCAGAGGTCCCAGAATGGTGGCAGGACTCATATCCATATGATTTGATCAGAGGGACTCATTATTTTAACACAGAAATTGGAGCCCAGACTTAACTCTAATCACTATTGTTCTGAGGTCACCAGGGGTAGGAGAGGCATTATCATAAAATCATAGGACTTGGGGTGGGAAAGAATTTAGATGTCATCCCATTTATCCTCTCTCAAATACAGCTATCCGCTCTGCAGCATTTGTGATCATATTTAGGGGGTGTGGAGAAAGGGGTCAGTCTTTTTGAAGTATAATTTAAATATAGTAAAACTAACCTTTTTAGTGTTCCGTTCTATGAGTTTCGACAAACACAATTGTGTAGTTTACCATCAGTATATAAAACAGTGCATCACCCAGATTCCTTAATGTTCTTTTGTAGTCAAGCTATTCTTACCATCAGCCCCTAGCAACTATTGATCTGTTTTCTGTCCCTACTGTTTTGTCTGTTCTAGAATGTCTATAAATATAATAAAACAGGCCTAGCTGGTGTGGCTTAGTGGATAGAGCACTGAAGGGTCATGGGTTTGATTCCCAGTCAAGGGCACGTACCTGGGTTGCAAGTTCAATCCCAGCCCTGGTGGGGTGGATGTGGGAGGCAGCCAACTGATGTCTCTTTCACATCTCTCTCTTTCTCTCTCTCTCTTTCTCTTTCTCTCTCTCTCTCCCCCTCCCTCCCTCCCTCCTCCACTTCTCCCCATCTCCCCCTCCTTCCCTCCCTTCCATTCTTTTTAAAAATCAATGGAAAACATATCCTTGGGTAAGGATTAATAACAACAAAATAATAAAACAATATGTAGCCTTTGAGGCTGACTGCTTTCATGTAGTATGACGTAGTCGAGATTTAGCTCTGCTGTTGTGTGTATCCTGTCTTATTCTGACCTTGATTCAGAATTATTTAGATCTTCTTGCCTAGAAGAAATCTCATGGCTTTGACAGCACTGATTCTAACTGCAAAGAGGGTCCAAGTCCCTGGAGGACAACACCTTCTTCATCTCTGGGTCTCTTGTTGTGAAGGAAGGACTTTAGCACTCTCAGAAATACAGCACTGATTTTACAATATTCAACTCTCTGACGGAAAAATTTCTCCCACTGGCCTCAGAGGAATTTTGAGCAACATTATAAGCAGTTGCTTGATAGATGTTGACAAAAACACCACCTGTTTGATGTTGGTGCTGCCTCATCATAGTTTCTTAGAATGTGAGAATTCGAAGGGAACTTAGCAGTCATCTAGGCCAGGGTTTCTCAACCTCAGCACTATTGATATTTTGGCCAGATTATTCTTTGTTGTAGGGGGTCTGTCCTGTGTACTGTAGGGTGTTTAGCAGCATCTCTGCCCTCTACCCTCTAGATGCTAGTAGCAATCCCAGTCGTGACAATAAAAAATGTTTCCAGACACTGCCCACTCATCTATGGCAACCCCCTCATGTTCCAGATATACTGTGTGACATATGTGGAGTTATACAGGCAATAAATGCACAAGTGGAACTAGACCCATATTCCTTATGTTGGTCTTTTCATTGCATTGTACCATTCCACTTCCCTTTTTATATTTTACAGCCTCAAAAGGTAAGTTCAATATCAAAATTCCTTAGTACTTTAGCTCTTCTCAATTCTTAGTGGTGACACACTTGAGTAAATAGATCAGGTGTTAACAAACTTGGTTCTCTAGAGAACAAGTCAGCTACTGTAAGTTCTATTGGAAGGAACTTTTTTTTTTTTTAAATATCTGTATATTCTAAATGTTTATCCTTCCCTTTAATTGTCTTCTCAAATCTATTAAATATATATTATTTATGCCCAGCCAGTGTGGCTCAGTGGATTGAGGGTCATCCTATGGACTGAAAGATTCTGGTTCAATTCCTGGTAAGGGCACATGCCCAGTTTTGGGGCTCAATCCCCAGTAGGGGGCATGCAGGAGGCAGCCGATTGATGTTTCTCTCTCATAGATGTTTCTGTCTCTCTCTCCCTCCTTGCTCTCTTAAAAAAAATTAATAAAAACATTTAAAAAATTATTTACTCCATTTTATAGATAAGGAAACTGAGGCACAGAAAGTGTACAGCACTTGGCCAGTAAATAGTAGAGCAAGGATTCAAATCCAAGACTGTCCAACTCTAAATTGCATGCCCTTTCCACCAAGCTTCACTGACTCTCAAAGTTAAAAAAAAAGTCCCATGTAATTTACTAGTGACCTGGTCATCTCTCTTATTATTTTTTTTCCTAATCTTTTTTTTTTTTTTTCATTTTTAAATCCTCACCTGAGGATATATTTTGGTTGATTTGAGGGAGGGAGGGAGGGAGAAGAGGGAGGGAGGGAAGGAGTAGAGGGAGGGAGGGAGGGAGGAAGAGAGAGAGAGCGAGAGAGAGAGAGAGAGAGATCCATGAGAGAGAGAAACATCAATTGGTTGTCTCCTGAGGATTGAACCTGAAACATAGGTGTGTGCCCTGACCAGGAATTGAACCCACAGCCTTTTGGTGTACAGGATGATGCTCCAACCAACTATGCCACACACCCAGCCAGGACCTGGTCATTTGTTTATAACTATTATCTGCTTTGACCCGTTCAATAGCCTAAAAGGTAGAAGATTTTATCCCTGTTTTATAGTTGAGGAAATTTAGAGGGGTTACATGATCTGCCCAGAGTTAGAAATGAGTCTTAGATTTTTTTTTTTTTTTTTATCCTCACCCAAGACATTTTCCCATTTTTTTGTTCAGGTAGAGTGAGAGGGAGAGAGAGGAACAGAGAGAGAGAGAGAAACATCGACGTGAAGGGACACATCGAGTGGCCGCCACCCGCACGACCGACCAGGGCCGGGGACAAACTGCAACCGAGGTACGCGCCCTCAGTGGGAACCGAACCCGGGTCTCTCAGGACCGCAGGTTGACGCTCTAACCGCTGAGCCAAACCGGAAAGGGCGAGTCTTAGATTTTAACACAGAGTCATCTAAATGCAAAGTTCATATTCTTCACTACACTACAGTGTAAAAAGGGGAGGGGGTGAG